AATGTTTATCGCGCGGGGCGCCCGGCGTCGGGGGCGGGAACGGCGGCAGAGAGGGGAGGCGCCATTGGGGGTGGGAGCGCAGGTGGAACTGGGCAGAGCCCCCTGCCCCCGGGGCCTGCTCGGATCCCCTCCCTCCCAGTCCCCTCGCGGGCGGCCTGTCACTCACTGCAGGGGCGTCTCGCCGGTGTGCGTGCGCCGGTGTACCTCCAGGTGGTTCTTCCTCTTGAAGGACTTGCCACAGGTCTCACAGGTGAATTCACGGACACCTGGGGACGGCGGAGACGCGGCACTGAGGACGCTGCCTCGGGACGGGGGAGGCTGTGGAGTGTCTCTGACTGCTGCAGAGACGGAGTAGGGGCCCGTCTCCCTGCGTCTCCCAGGCCTCCTGGCGAGGGCCGACCCAACCCCACATCCTCGGGGTGCGGTGCGCGGCTCACAGCCCAGCCCGAGGCCCGCGACCGAGCAGAGCCGGGATGCGAACTTGGGTCCCCAAAGCGTACTGACGGGTACAGGGAACAAACTGCCAAGCCAAGAAGGGTCTGAATTTGTCCCCGGTGTTTGAACTCTGGGCGATTTCACATAAAAATCCAAAGTTCTGGCTTCTCAAAACATTGGAAGCTTTGCCCCTCAGGGCCCTGCCATCCTGTCCCCAGCCCTCCTGGAAGACCCACATCTTTACTGCGAGTGGAAACACAGGCCCTGTCCAGCTCTCCTCCCTCCTGTCACCTATGGCCGCAGGTGCTGCCACAGATTCAATCTGGAGGAGAGGTGGCACTGTCACCTCTGGCATTCAGTATTTCTATAATGTTGGGTTTTTTTGTCTTTTTTAAGCAACAAATTTTTTCAGCAAAAAGAAAAACAAGTGGTTTTTTAACATGACAGGCATTCTGGGGAGATCACTGGAAGGTGGTTCGACTGTCTCTGCTCTGCCCTAGACCTGTCCCCTAAGTCCCCTGTGAGACTTGCTCATGGGGGTGGAGAGGAGACAGCCGCTGCCCAGTTCCACATGATTTGTAATAGTTGGGGTCACTGTGACTTGAGTAGCTCCAGCCTTCTGGGCACATAGCAGAGGTTCCAAGAGGGGCAGCCTCATGGCCTGAGGGCCCAAGTGCCGGGGTTTGGTCTGCCTGCCCAAGTCCTAGCTTCCAGGCCTGTGCCCATGTCCCCAGCTTGCAGTTCCAGCCCGGCCCAGGGCTTAACCTGAATGGATGATCATGTGTCGCCGCAGGTGGTTGGATAAATAGAACTTCTTGCCACAGCCAGGGTGAGGGCACACTTTGGTCTTCCCTTTCCGATGCACAAGGTTGACGTGGTTCTGGGGACAAGAGGGACAAGAGTGGGTGCTGTGGGCTGACCTGAGGGGCTCTCAAAGGTGGGGAGAGATGAGGGCAGCTGGGAGGCAGGCTGGGGCCAGCCCAGGCTGGACGACGGAAGAGGGATGTCCCTGACCTGTAGAAGACTCCCAGGGGCACAGCTGGGGTCAAAGAGCAGCTTTACTGAGTACCTACCATGTGCCAGGCTCTGGGCTGGGGCATCAGCCAACCCTGTGAAGAGCCCACCCATTAGCCCAGTTTGTGGATGGGGAAAGTGAGGCTCAGCAGGCTCCGTGGTTTGGCTGGTGTCCCACAGGTGGGCAGGGGCAGGGCTGGGACTGAATTCCAGGGTTGTCAGCTCCACAGCAGGTCCCCCACCAAGGTGCTACAGTGTCCTGGGGTGCCTAATTCATTCATTCTTTTGTTCATTCTGTAACTCACTAGAACAACTGTGGCTCCAGCACACAGCACCGGGCCTAGCACACAGTAGGTGCCCAATACATGCTCAATGAAAACATGGCTTGACAAACTCAAAGGCCTGTTGGTGCTGCCTTCTGTGACAGGTGTAGGGATATGACAATCCATCTCTGCCCCTGGGGGCACCCCGTGCAGACTCTGGAGGGCAAACTCCAGGTTTGATGTTCCATTGGGGCAGTGACCCTGGACTCACAGGCCTAACTGGCTCTGGGGGACTGCGGTGGGCTTCTTGGTGGGAGGGACATGCTGAGCTGAGCTCAGAGGGTCAAGGGAGAGGAGGCGTCCTGAACAGAGAGGGTGGCCTGGGCAAGGGTGGGGGGAGTTCAGAAGGGCTGAGAAGAGGGGAGTGTGTGTGTGGGGAGCTGCCAGGTGAGGTCATGGCCACCTGGTCTCCGGGGAGAGAGACCAGGGCGGGCTGGAGGGCAGGAAGGGAAGGTGACAAGGCGATGTTCAGTGCTATGAGGTGGAGGTGGGGGTTGTGAGAAGCTTCTGGGACCAGCTGGTCTGGGGCAGACTCATAGCAGACAGGCCATGGGGGCAGTGGCACCTGATGGGACCATGCTCTCCGGCCTCCAGGCTGCTCGGAGGGTAGCCTCACCTGGAAGCTGCTGAGGGCCACGTAGACCTGGCTGCAGCCCTCGTAGGGGCAGTGGAACATCTCCAGCAGGCCATCGGCGTCCATCACCCGCGACCGCTTGCTCCGCCGCCTCCTGGGGAGAAAGCGGTCCATGGTGTCAGGGCTTCCCCAACCCAGGCAAGTGGTGGGGCTGCCAGGCGCACCTTGCCCTTGCCCTTGCCCACCCCCACACCCACTTCTCAGGCTCCTTAGGGATCTCATAGATGATGGCTGACATGTCGCCGCCGTCCAGCTCCTCGCCATCCGCCTCCGCCTCAGGCTCTGCACTCTCAGGCCCTGTCGCTGCCAGCTCCGCCGGCTCTGGAGCCACAGGCTCCTCCTTCTCCTCCTTCTTGAGCATGTACAGGTCCTCCTTCTCTACAGGGTGGACACAGGGCAATGTCCAAGGGGGACGAAGGATGCCGAGGAGCCCACTTCAAGGGCCCTCCCCTTCCCAGTCCCCACCCAAGCCCTGCCAGAGGCCACAGATGGCCCTCCAGACCTTTCTTGGTCTCAATGCCTGCTATGGTGGCAGCGTCCATGGCGCAGGGCTGGCTGCCTTCAGGCTCCGTCTGGGTGTAGGCTGCCACGCCCTCCAGCATGGTGCAGGGCACCTCCTCGCCCAGGCCACCGCCACCGCTGGGGGCGCTGCTGCCCGTCGCCACGTTGAGGTGGATGCCCTCAGCTGTGAGGGTGTCGTAGCCAGGGCCTGCGATGATGATCACCTGCGAGCCGGGCACCATGCCTGGCATGGGGCAGCTGGCCACTACCTCGCCCAATGCCTCCTGTGGCACATTCTCAAAGAGGGCGCCAGGGCCCGTGCCCACCTGCATGGGCACTGGCACGCACACCACTGTCTCCAGGGCTTCAGGCCTGCTGCCCGCAGGGTTGGGGCACAAGGGGGTACCCTGCTCAGCTAGGCTCTCCACGTGGTGGACGTCGAAGGGGATGTGCACACCCTCCTGAGTGATGAGGCCGCTGCTGCCCACCGGGCTGGTGGGGGTGACTGCCGCCGCCGCAGCCTTGACCGACTGGCCCTCGGGGGGCTCCTCAGAGTCGGAGCCGGAGCCAGAGCTGGATGAGTCAGAACTGCCAGCCACCATGCCATTGCCCACTGCGGTGACAGAAGAAAGGGGCAGTTATGAATGACAGCAGCAGTAGGGAGCTGGCCGGTTAGCTCAGTTGCTTAGAGTGCAGTGTTGTAATACCAAGGTCAAGGGTTCAGATCCCTTTACCAGCCAGCAGCTTATAAAAAAAAATAGCAGCAGCAGTTAGTATTTGTTGAGGGCTCACCAGGGGCTGGGCACTGTGACCCAAAATAGCAGTCACTTCTCAATCCCCACTGTCCCTGTCCACCCCTGCTCCTTGGAGACACTCTACTCCTGCAGCTTCCAGACCCACACTCTGGTTTCCTGGGCCCTCTCTGGTGGCTCGTTCTGAGTCTCTTTGGCTTTTGCAGGCCTGGAAGGTACAGGCCGGGGCCTCTCCTCAGGGTCTTGCTCAGGCTGATGGTGGTAAAGCCCCTCTTGGGTTCTCTGATCCTCCAAGCCAACTGGGTGTCCAACAACTCAATTCAATTCTGACACTATCTACCTGGCATGAGCGTCAAATCCCACAAGTTAAAGGGCTCTGTCCCCAGGACTGTCCCCACTTCAGATGCTGGCTGCCAGCCCTGGGCCATCCTGTATGTCAGACCAACTGGCTACAAACAGCGGGTACTCACGACCCCATCCACCAGTTTGATAATTTGCTAGAACAACTCATGGAACCCAGAATAGTGCTCTACTTACGATTACAGCTTTATTATAAAGAATAAAACTCAGAGATTGCCAAACGGAAGAGATGCGTAGGGCAAGGGGTGGGGGAAAGGGTGCAGGGCTTTCATGTCCTGTCTGGGGGTGCTACTCCCCCAGCCCCTTGAAGTGTCCACCAACCCTGAAGCTCTCTGAACCTCACTGTTCAAGAGTTTTTACAACCCGATCTCCAGCCCATCCAGTTCCTGGAGGTTGGGGGTGAGGCTGGGAGTTCTGCCTTCTGCTCATATGTTTGGTCTTTCGGGTCACAGTCCCCATCCTGAAGCCATCCTGTAGACCCACCATGAGTCTCCCCATTGGCATAGACTCAGGGGTGTTCCAAAGGGGCTCCTTATGATTAAAAAAAAAAAAACCACCACCCTTGGCATGGCGGGTCCATGTGTGTGGCTCCTGCCTGGACCTCCCTGGTGAGCTACAGATCTCTACATCCCCGGCCTCCTCTGCTGCTCCCTGTGGGGGTCTCATGGGTGTATCAGACTCAGCTTGGCAATACTGGGCTCCGAATCTTCCCTCCAGAAAAGGCTGCACTGCTCACGGGCATCCCCGTCTCAGCGGTTGGCAGCTCTGTCCTTCCAGTTGCTCAGGACAAAGTCCTGGGGCTATCCTTGACTCCTCTCTCTCTCACACCCACTTCCAATCTGTCAGCAAAACTTGGCAGTGCTGCATATAATATACACCCACTCACAGACTGACTCCTTCTTCCACCTCCCCTGCAGACACTGGTCCCGGCTCCATCATCCCCCTGCCATGACCAGTGCAGCCCCTTCTCCTTGGTCCCCCAGCTCCTGAGAACCTGTTCATTACTTCCTGTGAAACAGACAGGCCAGCTACTCATCAAGTCTGTCTCTTCCTCTGGGCACCCAGGTGGACTACATCTCCCGGCATCCCTTGCAGGTGGGTGTGACCATTTGCCTGGGTTGGGGCCTATGGAATGTGAGTGGACATCACCTTCCAGGGCCCAGCCTCCACCTGTCTGTCCCTGCCAGCCAGAAAGGACCCAGAAGGAGGCTGGAGCCATAGGAGGAGAACCCGAATCCCAGGGTGGAGGGTGGCCTAAGGGTTGGGGGCACTGGACTTTGTCTGTGACAATCAAACTGGTATGTTCGTCACAGGAGCTGGGGTGTGTCTGTTTCCGCGGCTGGCATTCCCTAATCAATACCCTTCCCCACTCACTTGGTGCAGCAGCCAAAACCTCAGCTTAGCCACACACCCTGATGACCCGCCCGTCCCATCACCTCCTGCTCCTGCCTCCTTTCCAGCCCCACTGGCCTTAGTGCCTTAGCACTTCCTCTGCTTGAATCCCCTTCTCCGTCAGACCCTGCATCAGGTGGTATTTTCTCAGTGAGGCTTCCCCAACCAGCCCGTCTCAAACAGTCCCCTTTCCCTCCTTTATTTCTCCCCAAAGAACTGACCACCTTTCAGTACACTCAGTATCTTACTTGTTTATCTTGTCTACTATCTGCTTCCCCTCTAGAATGTAAACTCCACAAGGAAGGGGGTCCCCAGTGCCTAGGAGGCTGCCTGGTACCCAGTGAGTACATGTTTGTATGCACAAATGAACCTCAGTCCAGCGCTGTGATGAAGGCCGAGGGGACTAACACCCTAGCCAGGCATTCAGTGCCAAAGTCCACACACAGGGAGAAACTGGGGACAGCAAAACTGAATGACTGTGGTTTCAATTCCACTTGTGTCACAGTTGGGGCATGCTGTCTGGGGACTATGTGTCCTACAGCCCCAGAGGGTCACATGGAGAGCACATAGGGGCCAGGTTGGATCCAGTGCCCACTCCTCCAGCTGTGGCACCTCATGTGACCTGTCTGGGCCTGGGGATAACAGTGGTACCTACAGGGGGAGGCAGGGGGTTGTGTATTTAGCGAGTAAATATATGTAAAGGGCTTAGGACACTAGGGGGCCCCAAGTGGGCACCCTAGAAATGTTTCTTATCATCATTATCATCATAATGAACCTGCAGGCAGTGCAGTGAGATACCCCAGCCCTGAATCTTGGCCCACTCACTCCTGGTGGTCCTGGGGCGGCAGCAGGGTGCGGGGTGGAATCAGCCCCTCCTTCTAACAGTAACTTCTCAGCTGTCCTGTTGTCTGCAGGGGCTGAGTCCCCTGGTGCCACCCTGAAGGAGGGGGATGTCACTGAGTGAGAGGGGGCTGGGGAGGCTGTAGTCTGACTGTTAATAAGGCTGACAGTGGATTTCTCTCCAGCTAATAACAACACTAGCGACAGAAATGGCCATGCACCCTGGGCTCCCACAGCCCCAGCGGGTGTCCTCTTGCCGACTCAGAGATGGCAGGGCCACCCCAGGCACTGAGCAGGTAAGGGGTGCTGCCACAGGAACAGGACTGGGACATGGGGACACAGCCACTTCCCTCACTAGCGCCCCCAGAAGACCTGGCTAATCGGTCACAGAACTCATTCCCAAGAGCCCAGATCTGGAGTTCACAATTGGTTTGGGTGTGAAGGGGCTCCTCTAGGTGCCACCCCCATCCCAGCCTCAGCCATCACAGATGGGCAAGTCACGTTACCCCTGGGACCTAGGGTTCCCTGACTGCCGAGAACAACTGATGACAGGGCTGTGGTGAAGATTCAGGGAGGTTCGGGGCAGGGCCAGGAGTGGGGCACAGTGAGGGGGAGTGACAGGCAGAGGAGGGCAGGCGCTGAGCTCAGAACAGGGCAGCTGAGGGGCTGGCTGCACGCTGGGACCTGGCCGAGGCACAGCAGGATGGCCATTGGTGAGGGTGCCCACCCGGAACACCTCTCGCCCACGGCTTCCCCTTGACCAGCTGGGATGCCACCTGCTCCAAGATGCCTGCCAGCACGGGCTCAGCCCCAGTGACTGACCCCACCCTCGGTCCTTGCAGGGTGCTGGCAGCAACACCATCACCTGCTCACAGTCATGCCAGCCCCTGCAGCAGCAGGTTGCCCCCTCGCCATCCACGGGGTCTCCTCTGCTCCCCAGCAGGGCCAACAGAGTCCCTCCCAGCCCTTAGCAGGTGTCAGCCCCGAGTGTAACCAGCGTGGGATGGTAGGGAGAGGGGCAGGGACAGTGAGAGACACAGAGGGAGAGGTGGGGGCAGGAAGAAGACAGGAGAAAGGAGGGAACGATGAAACAGAGCATGAAAGATCAAGGAAGGGAGCAGTGGGGAGAGAAGCCAGGAAAAACAGAGAGAAAGTGCCAGTCGCTTAGCCCGGCCAGTCAGAGCGTGGCGTTGTAACACCAAGGTCACAGGTTCCATCCCTGTACCGGCCAGCCACCAAAAAAAGGTAGAGAGAGGGCCGGCCCGGTGGCACACTCGGTAGAGTGCAGCGCTTGGAAGTGTGGTGGCGGCGCCGCGCTCCCGCCGAGGGTTCGGATCCCATATAGAGACCGGTCTGCGCACTGGTTGAGCGCGGTGTGGGCACGACACGGAGGGTTGCGATCCCGTTGCCAGTCGCGGTACGGGCACGGGGTTCGGATCCCATATAGAGACCGGTCTGCTCACTGGTTGAGCGCGGTGTGGGCACGACACGGAGGGTTGCGATCCCGTTGCCAGTCGCGGTACGGGCACAACACCGATGGTTGCGATCCCGTTACCAGTCACGAAAAAAGACAAAAAGGAAAAAAAAAAAAGGTAGAGAGAAAGAGAATGAGACCAGAAGTAACAGAAGCCCACAAAGAGCGGGAGGAAATCACCAGGAGGCAGGAGAGCAGCACCCGCCCTGTTGAGTCTGCGCCCAGTGTGCCTGTCCCTGGCCCCACGTGCCTGGGACTGGCCCTGGGCACAGATGGGCAAACTGCAGCTCCCCGCCTCAGGCTCCACAAGGGCTCAAGGACTGCAAGTACAGGAAGGGCTTGGCCTGGCCCACCGAGTCTGCACTCTGTCCCTGAAGCCAGAGCCACTGTACTGTATGCGGATGCTGTTGTGCTGGTGACACTGGCCAGAAGCTGGTGGGGAGCTCAGGCCGATCCACCCCAGGAGTGGCTGCGGAATGGCCTCGCCCTGCGGACCCACCTTTGTCGCTGTCGGGGTCTGAGTCGCTGAGTGGCTTCAGGGGTGAGTGCAGGTCTTGGAAGTAACGGTGGCCGGCTTCGCACTGCCACACGGCTGTGGTGTACAAGCCAAAGGTGGGGTCCAGTTCAGCGAGGTGCGGCTCGTATGGGCAGCGGTGCTTGTGGTCCTCGTACCAGATCACTACATTCTTCAGGCAGTTCACATTGCGTCGCCGCCCTGGGGACAAAGGACCAGGGGTGGGAGTGAGGGGCAGGGCTCAGCCCCCATGGCAACTTGGCTCCCATGGGTTGAGACACCCTCCTGAGCCCTATCAAGGCCTGCACTTGATTTACAGGGGGGAAACTGAGGCTCAACACCCTGGAGATAACAGAGACTGGCTAGGGACTGTCCTCATTGACCAAGTGAAGTCACAGAAACAGTGCAACCTGGCAGAAAGTAGGTGCGCAATAATCGTTAGCTACTTGCTGCTGTTCTAATCACCAGTATCAACACCTCCTGCCAAGACCTGTGCAGTCCCTCTGTCCTGGTCCCCTGGCTCCTGTCCTTACCTGCACCCCCTCACAGCAGCCAGAGGTGCCTGTGAACAGCTGAGTCAGGTCCCGTCCCTCCTCTGCCTTGAATCTACCATGGCTCCCACCTCCCTTGTTCTCCTGGTAGCACCTAGACTCCAACTATGGTTATTTGTTTGCATGCTTCTTGTCTGACTCCCACCTAGAATGCCAGCTCCCCACGGGCAGGGACGTTTCTGTTCTGTTCCTCCTGTATCCCCAGTGCCTGCACAGGGCCTGACACACAGCAGGTGCTTAGCACACATTTGCAGGATGAGACAGTGCTGTGAAAGGGTGGGCATGGCAGAGCCAGACCGCCTGGGATCCAGTCCCGGCACGGCCACTGCCTAGCTGGGTGGCCCCAGGCAAGTGACTCAGCTTCTCAGAACCTCAGTTGCCCTCTCTGGCCCAGGAGAAGATAAGGATTCCCATCCTTGAGGGCTGCCAGGGAGAAGTGAAGACATGGACGGGGCACAGACAGAGCTGGTCACAGCACATGCCTGAGAAACAAATGGTACCTCAAACTAGTGACGATCTTGGTGCCTGGGCCTTGTGGGAGGAAGGTGTGCGCCCCACCCTCCTAGGCTGGGACATGACCAGGGGCCCAGGGATTGTGCCTAGGGTCTCCAGCCTGGTAACGAGATGGGGACAGTAGGGAACCCACCAGCAGCCCCCTCCAGCTGAGCACCGTGCCTTGTTATCTCAGTCCCCACCCCTTTGGGATTTCAGAGTCACGGTCTTGGCTCAGCCCCGCCTCTGGAGAACTGTGAGAAGTGGGGAATGAGGGGGGCTCACGGCCACCAGACCCTTCCCTAGACCGCTGGCCCTCACCCTGCTGGACTTCCACACACAGGTCCAGGACTCAGAGCTGTTCAGATCCAGCCATTTGGACTTCCACCAACTTGTCCCGCGAAGGGACAAGCTCCAGGCCCGCAAGTTCTGCTTGCCTGCACCTCGCTCCCCATGAGGCTGGCACACGATCCACCCTCAGGCCTTTGCACAAGCTGTTCCCTCTGCTTGGCTCTCCCTGGCCGACCCCCATCCCGCAAGTTCTGCTTGCCTGCACCTCGCTCCCCATGAGGCTGGCACACGATCCACCCTCAGACCTTTGCACAAGCTGTTCCCTCTGCTTGGCTCTCCCTGGCCGACCCCCATGCACCAAGTAGGAGAGTGGAGGAGCCAAGAGGACTCCTCTGGGGACACACAGACCTGGGCTTGGGGTCTGTCTCTGCCACTTTCCAACTGTGCAGTGCAGGTGGTGGCTCGGCCTCTCTGGGCCTCGGCCTCCCTACCTACTCCCCTTCCTACTCCCCCACCTGCCCCGAGGCTGCGGCTCCACTTACTTTTTTTCCTCTTTGGCTTTTTGGGGACTTGCTCCCAGGGCTTCCTGCAACAGAGAGAGGCAGTGAGGGTGAACGCAAGGCCAGCGCTGGGCGCGTTTCCTGACAGATCGTAAGTAGTGAGCGCCACTCTGGCTACCACTCATCCTGCAGTGGAGCAGAACGTGAGCTTCTCTTTACGGGGCCTTCCCCCTCCTCCAGCAGCATGTCTCTTCACTTGGGTTCTCTCGCCACTGACCCCAGCCCTTGGAGGGGGATCTAGGAGCACCACCCACCTCACAGAGAGGGAAATTGAGGCTCAGAGGGCTGAAGTCACTGCCTTGGGTTCCACCTTCAGGGAGTGGACTCAGAAAGAGGGTATGGAAAGTTGGTGTGGCAGGCAGAATTCCAAGATGGACCCCACAATTCCCACCCCGACACACACGTCCTGTGTAATCCTTGCCCCTTGAGTCAGGCAGGCCTGTGAGTATTGATGGGATATCACTCCCGTGGTTAAATGACTGAGTTCATCTGAAAGGGAGCATACAGAGGTGGGCCTGACCTCATCACGGGAGCCCTGGGAAGGGACTGTGCCCTGCTGAGGTCAGAGACAGGGAGCTGGGAATGCAACAGGGACTATGAGGGGTCTCGGGGAAGGACTCCAGGACTGAATGCAGTCTGGCCGACAGCCAGCAAGACACCGGGGACCTTGGTCCCATGACCACAAAGACATGAATTCTGCCAACAACAAGGGAGTCTGGGGGTAGACTGTTCCCTTGTGGTGCTTCCAGATGAAGACACAGCCAGCCAATGCCTTGATTTCAGCCTTGTGCGACCCTCAGCACAGGAACCTGTGAAAACATGCCAGGTTCCTGACCCACAGAAATGTGAGATGGTAGATGTGTGTGGTTTCAAGCCACTAAGTTCCTGGTCATTTGTTATGCAGCCATAGGAAACTGGAGAGTTTGCCTCGGAACCTGCGCTGCCCCTCCTGGGGTCTTGCTGGTCCTGCCTGAGCTCTTGAACCCTGGGGAAGACTGTCAGACCTCCCTGGATGGCTGGCTTTGCTAAGGACTCTGCCCCAACCCTAACTGCCTGCTTTACAGGGGCCCAGGCCAAGGCCCACGCAGCAGCCCAGGCCCAGTCAAATGACCCACCCACCTCCAGGCCTTCCCTACTCTGCCTGTGGTCCAACACCCTGGCCACATGCCTCAGTGAGCCACGGCCTCTGGGAACAGTCCAGGGCAGGGCAGGCCCAAAGGTGGGGGGGCGCCCATGGCCTCTTGCACCAGGATGGCTGCTGGATCTGCAGGACAGGTTCCTCACAGGTACTCGCAGGTACCCCACGCGAGCTGCAGGGGAGCCAGCACCAGTGCCACAGACTGAGCCTCCTCTCCTTGATGTGCTACGGGCTCCCCCTCCCTTCTTGCCCACCTGAGGCTGCCTCCTTGTCCTTCCTCTTTTATGCCACAGCAGCAGGCTCTGTGACCTTGGACAAGTGACCTTGCTGCCCCATGCCTCAGTTTCCCCACCTGCATGATGGGATAACACCACCTTCCTCAAGGGGTTGGCATGATGTTAGATGCATCATAAAGGGCTTGGTGCAGCCCCTGGCACTTAGTCATCACTCAGCAAATGGTAGCGATGATCATCATGATTATCAGGGTTATCATGGAGCCTGGCGCCCGGCACACTGGCTTCCCCTCTGTGGTTGGGCACACTCTCACTACAAACATCCTGACTGCCGGCCCAGGCTTTCTCCTCATCTCCGCTGTCCACACCCTCTGGCCTCCACCCAGCCCTACAGCAACTGTCACCCCATGCCCCAAGTCTGGTCCCCAGGACAGCTCCTCAGGGCTCTGCAGACCTTCCTGCCCAGGCTCTGCCTTTGCCCAGAGCTCCACTCCACCTTGCCCCATCCCAGGTGCCTCTGTCTCCTCTGATGACCTCACCCTCCCCTCCAAAGTGGCTCGCTGACTACCCAGACCCTCACCAAACTCAAATCCAAACACCCATGTCCCTTTCCATCTGCTATGGCCCCACCATGGCCAGGGTGCTGGGAATGCCACATCATGGTGGGGACAAGCTTGGGCATCAGCCAGATCCAAGTTCAAGTCTCAGCTCTGCTATCAACTGCCTGTGTGACCTCAAGCAGGCTTGTCCCTCTGAGCCTCAGTTTCCTCATCTGTGAAGTGGGGATCACAGCAGTGCCTCCTACACAGAGCTGCTGTGGGGATTAAACAAGATCACGTATGACGTGGTGAGTGCCACATTCCAACCCCAGTGCAGTACTTTCTTCCTCAAACTGCCTTCCCTTCTCTGCCCGCTTCTCCAGGTCCCACCGCCTCTGTGACTCCCAGCAGAGGCCACGTGAGTCCAGGACAACAGCTGCAGAGGTTTCCCAGGTCCTGGCCTTGCTTTTCTCTTAGTAGCCAGCCAGGAAAGATGCCCCTCACTCAGGGCCGGCCCATGGCTCACTTGGGAGAGTGCGGTGCTGATAACACCAAGGCCACGGGTTCGGATCCCTATATAGGGATGGCCAGTTAGCTCACCTGGAAGAAAGTGGTGCTGACAACACCAAGTCAAGGGTTAAGACCCCCTTACCGGTCATCTTTTTAAAAAAAAAAAAAAAGATGCCCCCTCACTCTCCTCCGTCATTCTCTTTTACTTAATTATTCCCACCACCAGCATCCAAACACGCTGTTATTTCTCCCTCATGAGTTAAAATAATCTTTTTTTTTTTTTGGGCAGCTGGCCAGCACGGGGATCCGAACTCATGACCTTGGTGTTATAAGCCCGTGTTCCTACCAGCTGAGCTAACCATCCAGACCCTTGATGGCCCTAACTTCAACCACTCTTCTCCACGGCCCCATGTGGGTCATAGCTCACCATGCACAGGCCTCCTTCCTGGTCTCCCAGCTCCCGTCCTCGCGCCCCACAGTTTCAGTGTAGGAGTTAATACGATTCTTTTGATTTTTTTGTTGTTAAAATCTTTAAGTGTAAGAAGAAAAATTCAAGGCCGGCTGGTTAGCTCACTTGGTTAGAGCGCGGTGTTACAGCACCAAGGTCAAGGGTTCAGATCACCATACAGGGCTAGACACTTAAAAAAACCCAAACAAACAAACAAACAAAC